GGGTTAGAAGGGTTAGATGAATGTTAGCAGGGTTAGATGAATGTTAGCAGGGTTAGCTGGATGTTAGCAGGGTTAGCTGGATGTTAGAATGGTTAGCTTGATGTTAGAAGGGTTAGCTTGATGTTAGCAGAGTTAATGTTAGCAGAGTTAGAAGGGTTAGATGAATGTTAGCAGGGTTAGCTGGATGTTAGCAGGGTTAGCTGGATGTTAGCTGGTGTGTTTCCAGCTGACTGTAGTCTGGTTTTTAAACAGGGAGTCCTGTAAAGGTTTAATGCTGGAATATAAGTGGAATAAAAGTTTTCCTCCAGCTGCCTGAAGTGCTCTGCAGTAGGTGAAACAAAGGTGGGACAGCTGCAGAAGGCTAGGATGTAGGYGGAGCTGGTCAGAAACATTTTATGTGCTCTGTTTTGAAAGCCATGATTTTCATAAATCATCTGAACACAGCCACAGATTTATTGTTTACAAACACTCAGTAAAATTTCAGCTGAAAGTTTTTCTGTTTTCTCACAGTTTCTTTATAGCTGTTGAGTTTGCAGCTGTATTTTGTTTTATATAGTTTTTACGTTAAACCCTTGTTTTTGTAGCACAGGTTTATTTTTGTTGAAGTTTCTTTGTTTAAAACTTTCTTCCTGTTTGTTTCCTGTCGGTTCTGAAGGTGTCMGTTTCCCTCGGAGCGTCAGGCCCGCCTGGAGGCCGTGAGGGAAATCTTCCTGGCGGCCTACAGCTCCACCGTGGGCCTGAGGTCCTCAGCACCCAGCCCGTCCGGCGCCATCTCCGGCCTGCTGGAGCAGTTCGCTCGAGGGGTCGGCCTCCGAGGCGCCAACATTATCGTGTGAYGAGGGAGCCCACACTCAGCTTTCAGCACGTCCAGAATCAGATGCAGAGATTTATTACTGCAGCTGTGTGCACACAGAAACCAAAACAAGACAGAGTGAGGAGCAGAAACAAGCATCAGTGTAAAGCTTTGACTCTGAAGTCTTATCTGCTCCACAGTTTGACACAAACAGGTCAGTTTTACCAAAGACCAAACTGAGACGTTTAATACGTCTGTTTTATTTCATGTCTCAGTTTTCATGACCCTGCAGAGCTGTGCTTCCTCATCCAAGTCCAGTCTTTAACGGTTCAGGTCCCAAACACCCTGCTGCTTATCACACACACACAGTTCAGTGGGTCTGTGGTTTCTGTGTGTAAACACTCTCCTGCATCTGGTCTCTGGGGGTCAGCAGTGAAGTGCCAAACGTCTCAGAGGATGTGGGTCTCTGGAGGTTCTGATGTTTAATGTTTTGCTTTGTTTTACTGTAAACTGTTGTCATTCAGGGACTGCACTGCTTTCAGCCACAGAAACAAAAAGGGAAATGTGTTGRATCAGAAAGAAAACGTCTTCATGTGCCTCTTCAGCTCTGTTTCTGTGAATCCCAGGCTCTGTCTCGTGTCTTTACAGGGTCGGTTCTGCTGATCCAAACAGAGCCTGGTGTTCTGGTGCTTGATTCAAGTCTTTARTGGGAGGATGATGAGGAACTGGTGCTTCAGTCTTCAACACAAACACAAATAATATCTGTGTCAGACAGGTCCAGCTGTTAAACTTCTAATAAAATGTGTTTGTTTTTCTTCTCCACACCCTGATGGTTCCAGACGTGGAGCAGACTGTAGACCAGGTCTACACCTCCTGGTTTATTTATTCATCAAACAGCAGCACTTCATGGACCTGCTGCAGGCCCACWGCAGGCTGGTCTGAACAGAGCCACCGGGCCGGGCCGGGCCATGCTGCTGACAGAGTCCAGATGAAACACCTGTGGAGGTTCAGAAAGTGTTGCTGTGTCAGCAGCTGGACCGGCTCGGTTCTGTTTCCAGTTCTAAAGCTGGAGGCCGTTCCCTCTTCAGAACCCCGAACTTAACTAAAATCTGTTTTATTTTGGAAATGTGTTAGCTTTTTAACCCCAGAATCTGTTAAAGGAAAGAAGGAACAACGTGAGGTGAAAAGATGATCAGAACCAGAACCAATGTGGACCGCCCACATCCCAACAGACTGATCAAGAACAAATCAATGTTCTGATGTTTGCCAGAGTCTGATTTCCAGTGCTGGGTGCTGTGTGTGGTGTTGGATCAGGCTGCTGCAGCCTCAGACCTCCTCAGTAAAACAATCAGTGTTTTAGTGCCTGCATGTTGGTTCTGAGCAGCTTTTAACAAACCAGATCACATCCAAACCTCAAACTTCTGCTTGTCTTGTTCACACRTGTCAGATTCTTAGTTTTATAAATAATTTAAAGGTTTTTATGCTGCTTTGCACCTGTCACGTGTCTTCTGTAAGTATTTCTGTGTTTTGTACAGCTGGTGCTTTTTATTTTTCTTTTGGTTGGAATTTCTTTTAATGAGCTTCAGGTGAAAACTGCCAATAAAGACAAACTGGATAAAGTTTTGATTTTCTTAAATGAATGAATTTTTTTTGACAGAAGCTGCAGAGCTGATGTCCTCGATGAAGACACAAAGCTTGAAGATTAGTTTATAAATGCCTCACATCACATCTTTATCACATGAGCAATTTATAAAAAAACAATCTGATTAATAACAGGAAACATTTTATATAAAGCTTTAGTGTTTGTAATGAAACTACTCTTCTGTCTAATGAAGAGCATGAGATTACTTCTCACATCAATCAGGAAAAAAAATTTATTTTTGTCCATGATTAATATTTATACATGTATGATATTTATACATGTATAAATATACATGTATGTTATTTATACATGATTAATATCTATACATGTATATTTATACATGATTAATATTTATACATGTATATTTATACATGATTAATATTTATACATGTATATTTATAAATGATTATTATCTATACATCCATCCATCCAT